GTGTGTGTGTGTGTGTGTGTGTGTGTGTGTGTGTGTGTGTGTGTGTGTGTGTGTGTGTGTGTGTGTGTGTGTGTGTGAAAACAAAACAATGCTTCTAAAATGGAAGAATTTCCTAGCAAAGTTATGAGGCCTAGTAGATTTAACTCAGAGGTTCTCCACTAAGAGGTTGGTTATCCTTCTAAAGACTCACAGGACATATCTTCCATAAAATTTAGAAATAGCTGTAACTTCCGTACTAATGGGCAAATATATGGTCACATCCCATTTTTATGTAAAATATATGCAGTTCTTTCTAATAGACTTGTATGCACGTGTGTGTCTACATACAAAAATAACCTCTATTCCAAAAATTGGCAGTGAGGCCTGTAAATTGCATCATTTACAACTATTTGTCTTCCCAATACAGAACTTCCTTTACCCATGCATCATTGATGCTCTGTAGGAGGATGTCCCTCTCTCTGTTTCATCCTCAGCATACTTTAGAAAAGTGTGTATAAGAACTTTTCTTCAATCCCTTGCCTCTCACAAGGCCCACAGAGGACAAATCAGAAATTTCTGCAAAACCCCAGCCTCCACCTGTTTCTGAGAAATATATAGGGCCAAATCTGCTCTCATTTACACCAGTACAAATCTAATGTAACTGCATTGCTGTCAGTATCTGGGGGTGATGTTCTTGGTTTCATAAATGCCATCTGATGGGTGAGAGAGAGGCCCTGGCTGACTGCAAGTAAGAGTTCACCGTTGGCCCAAGAGCACATGGCTATGGTGAAAGAAGTTGCTATAAAGTACTTGAGGAAAAAACAGGTAGCTTCCATTGAAACAGTAATGAAAATCCAGTGATCTCACACTGCGATCTTTCTTCTTTTGATTACTGTCTTGGTGAAATGAGGCCACTCTTGTAACGCACCCTGGCTGGAGTTGGGTTGAGTGAAGGTGAGTTTATCCTTCCAAACTTTTGGACATAGATCTCTATGTAGAGAACAGGAGGAAGGTAAGAAGTATGACACAGGCAAACAGTAAATTCTTTGAATAACTTCTCTCTCCTATCTGTTAAATTGAGACAGAACTTTCATTGCCTGCTTGAAAAGAAATATATCCCATTTATGCTCAGTGCTGTATTCTGAAAGTTCACTCAGTGTGAACCATTGCAGTGCTGTGTATAATAGCTAGCAATTACAGTTATAGTTTAAGGCTTTTGATTAAAATGGGTGTTTCTGAATCTCCTGTTGATGTGAGAGACTATCTCCATCACCAGAAGAGCTTGATATTCATTCTTTCTTGCACCATAGCTAAAAACAGCTCTGAGTTAATGCCACAGTCACCAATCGCTTCATAACATTTAAAGTAATTAACATATACAGTAGCCTTTGAATAAATGGCAAGGTAATAATTCAAGCCAGGGAATTGTAAACTGAGTGCCAAAATAGCTTCAGCGGGTTGTTAATGTCAGTAGGACCTCAAAGTGTGAATTATCGATTCCTTTCCTGCCCAGTACCTAAGTATCTGTTTCAGAGAGCATATGTTTTTGGAAAAAACAAGCTACATATTGATATCTTAGTTCTGTCTTGCTTTTTAACCATTGTCAGTCAAGTGAAATCTCTTGCGACACGGATGAAAGAACATCCCGACTTGGATGGTATTTCTAAAGAAGTATTATTCTTTATTCTGTGATGGCTGTTTGAAGAGCAGTAAACCTGCATATGGCTATGTCTACTCTGCAGGCCAATGTTGGTAGCATGTAGAGTATGTCTAACTAGATGTCGCAGTGAAAAGCAAGCAGTGTCCACACTGGTTCCCCGCTGCTGGAGTCTCTCCCAGTGGTGGGGAAAGGCTCCAACAGCAGGAAGGCAGCAGGATACTACACGGCTAAAAATAGCAATGCAGATAGGGGAGGCAGTGCTTGGGCTGTAGAGAGCCATATAGGGTATATACCTGGGTAGATACTCAGAGGCTTCAGGCATGTCTTTACTCACCTAAGCAGTACCTCCCCATCTATGCTGTTTATAGCTGTGCTAGCAATGCTAACCGTGTATGTACTTTGCACACAAGAAGTATGCAGTGTAGATGGATCTTATAAGTGTGATTTGCAACTCCCGGCATTGGAGCCAGCAGGTTTTAGGTATTCAGGAAGCTGAGTGATTCCATCAAGGCTCAGATCTCATCTGTCTCATTTATTGTATTCTTTGAGCTGGTCTCCTGTATCATCCACCAGAGTAAAACCAGCCAAATTCAGGGGGCATAGTTCAGGCTTGGTTGAATAGACTGGTAATGAAGACAAATCACAAAGTGCTTCAGGAGCAGTGGAGCACATAGTGAAGATAAAAGTTTTCTCTAAAATAAAGATGGATGTTGGACACACAACTTCTTTATTATTACGTAAACCAGTTTTAATGCAGGTAATTAATTATTTCTAATCATTATTTTCATTTTTTCTAGGCTGTGACTGTGCGGAATTCCATGGCTAAATCATTGTACAGCGCCTTGTTTGATTGGATAGTTTTTCGAATTAATCATGCACTTTTGAATACAAAGGATGTGGAGGAAAGCACCAAGGTAACATCTGGATTCTCCTGCCAGCTTGTCAGGCTGAAAACTTCCTCTTGTAAAATGTATAACTACAGGGTAAAACATTACCCAAACAATTGATGGCAAATTGTCTGGCAAAGGAAGTAAAATTTTCTTGCACAGCATTACTGTTAACATTTCAAGAATGAGCACATAATTTTGTCTTTTTTAAAGTGATGTTTTGTGAGTCGAGGGCAGATTTTAACGTGTCATGAATTGTGTCGAGAATTTTAGGCCTTGAAGTGACTTGTGATAGGGAGAGGTTTTGTATTGGACGCAAAAAGACATGTGCCCCTGAAAAGGAATGCCAATCTCCATGCATTTAAAAGGGTGCTGCAGAATGATAGCACCCTATATTGTTGAGAAGGAAATCAAAAGAGGCTAGATGTGTGAATACTGCTTGAAGGCATTGTTAATGGGGTTGCTCTACTTTGATTTAAAGAACAGTACATACATATTTTCTTCTGCCCTAAAGAGGCCCTGACTCTTGAATATTTATTGAAAGCTAAGGGTGTGGGTGGGTGTATTTTTAACTATATTTATTTATTTGTTTTTATTTATTTAGGAAGTTTTAAGATTTTTACAGATCCTTGCCATGTAAATATTAGAGACCATACAATAATCATTACAATGGTGAGCTTGAGTTTAGAGAAACATTATACAGTAATACAATCAGAGCTCTCTTTAACAGAGTGTTACCATGTTAGAGTGAAAACAATGAGGAGTCCTTGTGGCACCTTAGACTAACAGATTTATTTGGGCATAAGCTTTCATGGGCTAGAACCCACTTCATCAGATGCATAAAGTGAAAAAATACAGGCGCAGGTATAAATACATGAAAGGATGCGGGTTGCTTTACCAACTGTGAGATCAGTCTAACGAGATAAATCAATGAACAGCAGGATACCAAGGGAGGAAAAATAACTTTTGAAGTCGTAAGAGAGTGGCCCATTACAGACAGTTGACAAGAAAGTGTGAGTAATAGTAGGGATAAATTAGTATTGAGAAAATTAAGTTTAGGTTTTGTAATGACACAACCACTCCCAGTCTTTATTCAGGCCTAATCTGATGGTGTCCAGTTTGCAAATTAATTCCAGTTCTGCAGCTTCACGTTGGAGTCTGTTTTTGAAGTTTTTTTGTTGAAGAATTGCCACTTTTAGGTCTGTTATTGAGTGACCAGGGAGATTGAAGTGTTCTCCTACTGGCTTTTGAATGTTATGATTCCTGATGTCAGATTTGTGTCCATTTATTCTTTTGCATAGAGAATGTCCGGTATCAATTTGTAAACTTAATTTCTCCAGTACTAATTTATCCCTCCTGTTACTCACACCTTCTTGTCAACTGTCTGTAATGGGCCACTCTCTTACCACTTCAAAAGTTATTTTTCCTCCCTTGGTATCCTGCTGTTAATTGATTTATCTTGTTAGACTGACCTCACACTTGGTAAAGCAAACCCCATCCTTTCATGTATTTATACCTGCTCCTGTATTTTTCACTTCATGCATCTGATGAAGTGGGTTCTAGCCCAGGAAAGCCTATGCCAGGGGTCGGCAACCTACGGCACGCGAGCCGATTCTGAGTGGCACGCTGCTGCCCACTGAGAGGAGGAGGAGGGGGTGGAGGGGCTGGAAAGCGCCACGCTGGGGGAAGAAGCGGAGGAGAAGGGAAACTTGGCTGTGGCAGGACCAAGTTTCTGCCTCCTGCTCCCGCAGGGGAGAGCGGTGGGGGGGGGGGGGTCCGGCCCCACCGCTCTCCCCTGCGGGGGCAGGAGGCAGAAGCTTGGTCCTGCAACAGTCAAGCTTCCCTCCTCTCCCGCTTCTTCCCACAGCTTGGTGCATTCCGGCCCCTCTGCCCCTCCTCCTCCCTCTCCCTGCCTGCGATGGCTCTTGCGAGAGGGAGGGGAAAGAATGGCAGCCTGCACGCAGCTCCGTAGAGCAAGCAGAGAGAGGTAGGAACAGGGAAGTGGGTGGAACAGGGCATATCCCTCCCAGCCCCCTGCCATGAGCTGCTCAGGTCAGGGGGCTGGGAGCACCCCCACTAGCCGAGCACCCCAGCCTTCTGCCCTGCACCTCCACACACCCCCCAGTCCTCTGCCCTGACCTCCCCCCAACACCCAGCCTTCTGCCCTGCACCTCCACACACACCCCAGTCCTCTGCCCTGACCTCCCCCCAACACCTAGCCTTCTGCCCTGCATCTCCACACACACCCGCG